CATAAATCTAGTTACATTGAACCTGATAGAAAAGAAAGTGGGAAATAGCCTTGAATGCATTGGCATAGGAGACAACTTCCTGAATAGAACATCAGTAACATAGACACTAACACAGATATTTAATAAATGCAACATTATGAAACTGAAAATCTCTGTAAGGCAAAGGACACTGTCAATAGGACAAAACAGCAGCCTACAGAATAGGAAAAGATCTTCACCAACCCCACATCTGACAGAGGGCTGATTTCTAAAATACATAAATAACTCAAGAAACTAGACATAAAAAACCACAAATAATCCAATTAAAAATGGGGTACAGATTTAAACAGAGAATTCTCAACAGAAGAATCTCAAGTGGCAGGGAAGTACTTAAAGAATTGCTTAATATCCTTAGCCATAAGGGAAGTGCAAATCAAAATGACTCTGAGATTCCATCTTACACCTGTCAGAATGACCAAGGTCAAAAACACAGATGACAGCTTATATTGGAGAGGATGTGGAACAAGGGGAGCATTCCTCTATTGCTGGTGGGAGGGCAAACTTATACAGCCACTATAGAAATCAACATGGCAGTTTCTCAGAATATTAGAAATTGATCTAGCTATACCACTCTTGGGCATGTACTCAAAGGATGCTCAATCATAAACACTTTCTTTTGAAGAGTCGCCAGGTTATAGTATCTATTCACAGCAATAGAACACTAAGACAGTTCCCTAGGGCCACAAACCAAGGAGCTCACATTAGAGGCTGCCAAACAAATCCTATACTTAAGCCTGGGAAAGTTGGGAAGCTGCCTGCTGCCCACAAGTAAAAGATGGCTATGTGGACTAACCAGTGTAGCACTGACCACATTGAACCATTATGAAAACAGGTAAGGTTCACTCAGTTCCCACAAAAGACTTGACCTAGTAGTGTATATCTCTCTCAGGCTTACAGCCTGGTGGGCTCCAAATGATCAGGGTTTAGGGTAGATAGGAGACCATCCCTCAGCAGTGCCTAACTATGATCAAGTGCATTTCCATGGCAATGAGCCACAACTGGTTCCAGGACAACTGGAAAGGTCCATGGGAAAAGTGACTGGGATTGGAGTGTTCTTCCTTGGGCCCTGACTGTGTAGACACTTATCTACCCAACAGTAACTGCCCCATCCTCACAGCTGAACTGGCCAAATCTTGAGCAACCTGTTCTTCCCTCCTGGGGATCTCCCTTGCTGTGGTTCCACAATGACATTCCTCAGCAGTGGGTCAAGCCACCTCTCCTATGGCATAGTTTCTCAAATGCCCACACCTTATACCCTACTCATGGATGGACTGAAAACAGAAAGAACTGTTGCCACTGTGCCTGGGCATATAGAGCTGCTGGGCTCAAGTCATGGGGATGAGGATGGAAGACTCTGAAATCTATTAAGGCATGTTTGATCAGGGTAAGATTTATGTCTATGACATGTAAGTGTTCAAATTTAAACTTGGCCAGCTTTCCCAATATGCCAGTTAAAGACTGCAATAGTGAAGAACTTTTTTTTTTGAGACATGGTTTCTCTGTAGCTTTGGTGTGGGAACACCAGACCTTGAGCAGAGACCCACTTCCCCTTCTGCCTGGGAGTAGGCAGCTGTAAGACAATGTTTACTAAAAACATGTTTACTAAAAACAATACAATGCCTGGGGGCATTAAGTTCCTGGAAAAGGCCTGCCCGCAGAAACCACCCTGAGCTCGACCTTGTCCAAAGACTAACCGCCTCTTCTGCCACGCCCAGATCAGTTTCTGGGGTCAGAGCAGAACCAGCCAGGGGGAGAGGAGAGAGCAGAAGCTTCTCTGGTGGGAGCCTTTCTTAGGAAGTTTTCTTGAACCTTTTTGGAGCCTGCTTAAAGTTTTCTTTACATCGTTGAACGAGTCTCTGTGTTGTCAATCCCCGACACCCTCCGCACGTTCTCGGACACAGGCCGCGCAGCAGACTCGACACTTTGGAGCCTGTCTTGGAACTCTCTGTAGACCAGGCTGGCCTTGAACTCACAGAGGTCAGCCTACCTCTGCCTTGCTGGAATTAAAGGCATGTGCCACCACTGCCAAGCTGTTTTTTTTAATTAAACTTATCTATTTAGTGTGTATGTGTATGCCATGGCACAGGTGGAGTCAGAGAACAACTTGCTGGATAGAGTCAGTTCTCTTTTTCCACTACATGGGTCCCAAGGATCAAACTCAGGTCATCAGGCTTAGCAACATGTGCTTTAACATGCATTGTCATCTCACAAGCCTAAAAGAGGAGATTTAAACATGGTCATGCTGGGAGAATGAACAGAGGAATCTGATGGTCCCCAAAGCACCTTTTACATACTGGCGAGAGCTTTTTTTGCTGCTTGTTTATTCAATTCTGGTTCTACAAGATGGTCCAAGAAGTTTTTATTGCTTGAGGAGATAGATCTCTGTCTGTAACACATTTTGGCAAGCCACCAGCCAGGAGTTAAGAGAATATCAGATCCCTTAAAACTGGAGTTACAGGCAATTGGAGCTGCCTAGTGTGGGTACTTGGAAGTAAACCTGGGTCCTCTCTGTAAGAACAAGAGCTCTTAACTATCAAACCATCTCTCTAGCCCCATGATACAAGGTTTTCTTTGTTCTGTTCCTTTAAAAACTTTATGAAATTGCTACCATGTGGGACTACAGTATTTGGGGTAATCTGAATCTGTTCCTAGGTCATGGTCACTAGTTTAGTTCCATGTTTGAGGTCAGATCTATGTTTTGTGTTGTTGTTGTTGTGTGAGTTGTTGGGAACTGAACTTAGGGCTTCTTACATACGTTGGTGGGTAAGCAGCACTCTACCCACTGAACTGTCTTTCCAGCACCTAAACATGGTGCTTCAAGGATGATCCCCTTTCACCAGAAGAGCAGCATGGACAGGTGTCAGGTACCAGAATGTGCCCACTATGCTCAACCACTTAGTGTTACCTTCTCAGGTAGATGTTGGCAAGTTTTTTCAGGGACTTGGACTTGCATGGTTTGGGTCACAATCCACTGGTTTATTATGAGCTGGTGAACAGTCAGAAGCATGGTGTCCATTGTGTTTGTTTTCAGTGCATGTGGTTTCAGAACACTGGGTTTGTTTTTAGGATGTTTGGTTGTTAATTTATAGTATTCTGCCTTTGATACTTTTGTCACTCCTCTAGTGTCTAATTTACAGAAGAATATCTGAAAAGTTGTCATTTAGTACCTCAGAGAGTTTTGTTTGGTAACTGTGTAAATTAAAGTTATAAATATTTAAAAATTGGATAAATATAACTAAAGGTAATTTGATTTTATGTTTCCCAAAATAGGGAATATTTGATTTCTCATACACACACTAAATTGAAAGAACTGAACAATAGCAATGAAAGATCACAAATGGACAGTTTACTTTAATTGAAATTTTATTTTTGGTTTTTCGAGACAGGTTTTTTCTGTGCAGCCCTGGCTGTCCTGGAACTCACTAGGCTGGCCTCGAATTCAGAGAGATCCACCTGCCTCTGCCTCCTGAGAGCTGGAATTAAAATGTGTGCCAGGCCTAATTGAAATTTAAAACATCTAAAGAAAACACTGAAAATTTAGTTTACAGTTAACTAGAGTTTTAAAACTACATCTAAGATACTGGAATGTTAAAAATGAGTAAGAAATTAATAAGTTTTAAGATTGCACAAGAACTAAGATAAATTCTTAAGAAAATAATTTAAGCATTCTCGAGCTATGTTTTCTGCTCCGACTTCTCCTCTTCCTTCTTTAACTTCAAACAATAAAAATTTTCTATCAAAGAATTACTGCAGTCTATTTTAGGATAAAACATAAAGATAAAAGAGATGCCATTCTAAAAATTCCCTGTTGTGAATGTGATTCTCTGTTAACTCTTAAACAAGAAGGAAAATAAACTAATCCTACTTAACAGCTTTACCTTGGAACTTTCTCCTCTCATTAACCCTTTCTTACATCTCAAAGATGTAGAGTTTTAATTCTACTATACAGGGCCTTCTTGATGGGTATAACCTATTCTAATTGTGTCACGTCTATTCATGGCAATTGTTTTCATGTAATTATCTTTATCATTTTGTATTCTGAAAAAAAAACTAAGTGATAAAAGTCTGTAAGCATTTCATTTATACATTAAAAAACCTTACCTTGTGCTTCTCTTAGTATGCCTGTTTTTTTAAAGATTTATTTTATGTGTATAAGTGTTTTGTCTGCATGTACATATGTTTACCACATGTATGCCTGTTACCCAGAGCATTGGATCCCCTGGAACCAGAGTTATGAATGGTCACGAGTCACCTTTGGGTGCTAGGAATTAACCCAGGTCCTCTGCAAGTGCAGAAAGTGCTCTTGATTGTTGAGCTATCACTCCAGCCTCATTGCCAGGACTAATTTAAAACATGCAAGTAAACATGAATGTCTGAGAGGCATATTAAAAGGCTTGATAAATACATACTGCTTTATAACAAATGTAGGTACTTTTAACTCCTTGAAACTTTCAAATGTTTTATGAAACCTTAAAATGCTACCTGTGTATATAAAATGAACAGTATTTGGCATCACAATGAAAGTTCCATTAAGCCATTAAATCTTACACGGGATACATAGATTTTAATAAGAATTTCTCCCAAAACCTGATGGGGGATGTTCTTCTATATGCTATGAACGTATGTTTTTCTTATTAGTTGATGATTAAAACTGTTTTCAGACAACGGACAGGCAGGATTTAGCCAGGCAGGAAATCTGAACAGGGATAGAGAAAGGAAGTAGGTGGAGTCAGGGAGACGCCATGTAGCTGCTGAGAAAGCACGACAATCTGGCATCACCAGTAAGCGAGGACCATGTGGAGATTAATAGAAATGGGTTAATATTTAAGAGAGAGCTAGCTAATAAGAAGCCTGAGCCATTGGCCCATTAGTTTATAGCTAATATAAGTCTCTGTGTGTTTATTTGGGACTAAACAGCTGTGGGACCCAGTGGGATAGAAACTTCCGTCTACAAAAACCAGTTCTGGAAAAGATTAAAATTTTATTTCAATTTTTTAAAAGTCAAGGATAACAAAAATAAAACAGCATCAAAATGCTTTATGTTGACTCAATTCTCTGGATGCTGTGGTTAGAATTCTTCAGCTGGAATGATTCCTTTTATAAGAGTGCTCTTAGTGTACAAGTAATGTATGCACAATTTCTGGTAAGGCTGAGATACATCTAGAATGATGGATATGTTTGCCAAAGAACTTTAAATGGAATTTCCTTTCCATAATGAAAATTATAGGAGTTATAATACCATCAAACAATAACATCAGACTGGGTATACTTACTGTGTATGTAATAAAAAGGACATATGATTAAGTCTTATCAGAAAAGGAAAGTCTCCCTTATTTTGGTTACAACTTAGTGCACTGCTAAAAATCTTATTTCTCTGGAGATCCTGGGCAAAGACAATATACGGTATCTGACAGGGTATTAAATCTGGTTAAAGAAGGGTACTAGATGTTTGGAGACAGGATACAGTCTGTAGAGGTCATTCTAAAAAGTGGCACCAGTGTCCATAAGAACCAAGTATCCACAGCCTCAAAAAAACCTTGAAGATAAGGCCACCTACACCTATAAGCTACTAAAAGGTTTAAGGACTTAAAGACCTCTTCAGACAACAAACAGGAAGCTTTAACTTCTTAAAGGCAAAGATAATCTCTATTATAAATCTATCTATAATTATCTTATGTTTTGGTTTTTTTCTTTCTTTTTCTTTTGGCACTGTTGGTACTCAGTGGTTACAAACGCCATCCAACCCCATCTTCCCTCCTTTAACCTATCCTATTAGTGGATTTTTCATAAAAATTGTTCTTTTGTATTTTGTCATGATCTCAATGTATAACCATCAGTTGTGATTTTGTGTGTCTTTTTTTTCCCAAAGTAGTCTAAAGGATCATATCAGGAACAATTTACAAAACATAGCTTTGGTTTTCCGGACTTTGGTCCTTTCTGGGGTCACTGATTGGCATAATCACATTATTCTTGCATTGACAGCTTTTCTTTAGATTTATTTATTTTAGGTGCATTGACGTTTACTTGCAGATATGTATGTGTACCACTTGCGTGTCTATGCCTGCAGATGTCAGAAGAGGTTGTTAGTTCCTTAAGAACTGCAGCTATGGATGGCTGTGGGATATCATGTGGATACTGAGAATCAGACCCAGGTTTTCTGCAAGAGCAATTAGTGCTCTTAACGGTTAAACCATCTCTCTAGCCCAAATTCTTGCATTTTTTAGTCCTGTAAAAATCTGTGTTTTTCTAGGATATGACAGTTTCAAACTTAACTCACTATGATATAGGGATTCAAGTCAACTCCCAACAAAAACTTCAAAGCCTCCCTTCAACCAACAGACACAACAGGAAGAGAGCTTTGTAGTCTCTCTTTGGCAAGGACTACACTCCTCATCAGCATGGAAATTATACAAAATAGATTATTACCCTTTAGCCCCTAAGAAAGATTTTTGAGACCACAGCTCTGAGGATGGAGTAAAGTGAGGTAGGCCAATAGGAAGTTCTAGAGGCAAACACACACACACACACACACACACGCACGCACGCACGCACGCACGCACGCACGCACGCACACACACACAAAAATTCCAAAGGAAGACTAGAAACAGCATGCTTTAAAAAAAAAAAAGCTCTACCTTCTCTAATTGCCAGAAAAGATGGGAGCTATGTAAATGTGCTATAAAGGGTAGAAACTGTTGGCCAAGGGCCTTTCAGCCTTAGACCTTTGCCAGTCAGTCCTTGGGCCCACTCCTCTCCTGGTAAAAGATCTCTATTTCCACCACTACCCATATGTCTCTGGTCCAACATTTGTTCCAGGACACAGGAACCTGGGCATCTCAGTGGGTGTACTCTGGAGTCTGACCTAAAATCAAAGTACAACTGAGGTTCTCTTAAGATTTATGTGTTGGCATGTCTTGTTTTTATAAAAGGTATGTTTGTTTAATGGCATTCTGGGAAACATTTCTGGTTTTAAAAACATACTAAACAGGTTTTTTTGTTTTGTTTTTGAGACAAAGTTTCACTATTTATCTCTGCCTGGTCTGGAACTATACAGACCAGGCTGGCCTTAAAGTCACAGAGATCTGCCTGTCTCTGCCTTTTAAGTGCTGAGATTAAAGGCATGCATCACCCTGACAGGCTAAGGCTAGTTAATGAATATTGGAAAAATGGGAAAGCTGTTTGTTTTTATCAATTTTGCATGAGAAAAAAAACGCTAGTTTTCTTGTGAAGCCATAGCTCAGGATGCAATCAATAAATATATGATCCTTCATTTACTGTTTGTGACAATCAATTCAATTTCTTATACACTCAAGTCCAAATTAGAACTATCTGCCTCACAGTGATATTTTATGACTATTACTTAGTTTTCTAAGTTCTAGATGTGGTAAAAGTTGTAAGTCAGTACTGTTTCAACACTTGTATTTCTTCTTCTTCAAAAAAATGAAGGAGCAAATATTTTAATAAGCTTTATGCAAAATAGTCCTGACCATTTTACTTGTAATTATCCTGGTATATGTGCCTAAGTATAGCCATGACTTCTCTGAGAACTGGAAAATACTGCATAATGCAAAAAATAAAAAATGTACAACTTTCCCCAATAACTTCACTTAAACTGTTGGCATACAGAATATAGGTAGACCAGACCACCAGTTAAATTTGCTAGACATAAAAATAAAAATAACTTGAAGATCGAAGAAAGCAAAACAACAGACTTTAACTGGTGAAAGGGGCTACACACATTCCACAGGTGCCATGGAAGAGCTTCTGGAGGGATAATAGAGGGCCCGCCCCTTTGATTGGCTGAGAGCCACAGAGCCAGGGACAAATTCTTGGAGGTAAGAACAGAGCCCACTCACTGGCAGGTCAGAGTTTGCTTACAGCACTCAAGCTAGCACCAGGGCAGAAAGTGAGGAGCTACCTATAATTCAACTATCAGGTCTTTCTTTTTCTTTTTAATATTAAAAAACCACCTGTGAGGTTATATAATAATATAAATCAAAGCTGACACAGCTAAGTGCTGGCACATAGTCAGCCATGTGGATATGGCATTTTACTAGTCCTTAGTGACTTTGTTCAATATTTAATCAAAAATTATGGAAGGTATAATTAACATGCAACTCTTATAAAAAAAAAGAAAATTAAAAATATTAATTTTCCATAAATGACCAGCACAAACTGTTAATCTGTTAAGAAAAGCCCAACCTCTCCACCATTCCAGAATATAAATATATACCCCATCTGCTTCTCTGTAAGCATCTTAGGTCGAGGACAAATGAGATAAAGCCAGAAGCTAAGCAGCCAACAGACCAATTGCTCATTCTCTGTGTGGCTGAGTCATTCATCTCTGGTGATGGGCATGGTGTCTTTGAATATGCAAGTCTTTGGGGACTTCTTGACCATCTTGCCAGAACTATAGTAGGTGCTTTTTGTTTTCTTGGTAGAATAATTCATCAGTGTTTCCTCTGAGGTTCAAACATGACCACTGGCCACATCCCAAAGAGAAACTGTGGAAACAAATGAGGACAAAAACAAGAAGAGATTATTCTATGTTTGAAAAGAAATGAGGATTAACAATCCCTGGGGGTCTGAACTGTAACACATGTTAGGTTTGTTAGTATGAGTACCTGGGCACAGCAAGAGCCTTCTTGACTTGCATCAGATCTCAAAAACTACTTTCACTTAATTTATTTAATGTATTAAGCATCTACTTTGCCAAGCATGGAAGTAGACATTTAATCTGTAATTCCTAAAGATATTTGGTAGAGGTGTGTGTGTGCATGCACACATATGTGAATGCAGTGCTTGTGGAAGTCAGAGGAGGGCACTGGGTTCCCTAAAGCTGGAGTGAGAGATGGCTGTGAGGACCTGATGTGTGTGTTGAGAATGGAACATGGGTCCTTTGAAATACCAGGACATGCTTTTAACTGCTGAGACATCTCCCAGCCCTTTAATCTTCCATTCTTAAAATAATGCTGAACATTGCTATTAACAGCTCCATTCTGTTGAAGAATCCCAGGCTTAAAGGAGAGACTTATCAAAGATCACATATTAATAGATGGATAATGAACATTTCAGAATTCATGTCTGCTGGTTCCAAAGTCTATGCTCCATTTCCTGTCCACTGCTCAATAGCTCCCTGATGTTTCTTACATCCATTTGATCTTCTCAAGACTACCACCATCTGCCCTTCACAACACAGGCTTACCTTCACTTTTGGCCTGTATCTCAGGTAAAGTGTTCTTGTATATAAACTGAAAGAAAAGTGGAAAAATTTTCTTAGACAACTCAATTCATAGACTATAACTTCATGTAATTTAGGACCAAGCATCTCATTATAATGTCCCATGTGTTTGATATCACAATTCCATCTTTGCAAATGCAGTTGTAAGCATTAATTAAGTAAAGGGATGAGAAAACCAGAAAGGCAACAGTTTCTTTGGGGTCTGTCTTTAAACCGAGTCATTGCTGGAGGTGAGATTAGGTCAGTAAAGTTCGCATATAATAAACACTCCTGAATTTTTTCCCTGAAAATTGCTAGGTTGTATGCAATATACAATGTAAATAGACTTAATATTTGTGTATACTACACTATTTAAATGTATTTGAATAGTAACAAATATATTATGACAACATATACAAAGCCTAATTTTCTAGTATTTCAAATAATGTAAAGGTCAAGAGAACCTACATGTTAAATTTGTAAAATTTAACATGGCTATGCTACATTTTCCTGTACTAAAGCTGAAACATCAGTGAATGGCAGTTTAGATGTTACCTTAACATTTGCTAGCTGTAAAACTTTGAACTTGTTAATTGCTAATATTTTTAAGTATTTATCAAATAACAACAACAAAAAAAACCTAAACAACTGCTTTAGTGGGAAATTTGTTAGCACAATTTAGGCAGAAGTAATTCTTCACCGAGCATGGTGGCACTTGCCACCACTTGCCTAGTATTTAGTAAGGAAAGCAGGAGGGTTTTGGGTTTGAGGCTAACCTGGACTACTTAGTGACTATTTTCAGGCCATCCTAATCTACATGGTGAGAATATCTGGGGGTGGGGGTGGAGAAAAAGTCCTGTTTAACTCAATCATTTCAACAATCTATTAAGTATTTAACAGAATAGGAAATTGAGGTGTAGGGCTAAATAAGCAATTTGGCTTTGTCTTCTAAGTAAAATGGTAGACTAGAAGTTGCTTTCATGTGACCCGGTTAAGGGAGAAAGTCAGTATAAGAAAAAGACCCTATCCTACAGAGAGAAAGAAAAGCCCTGAAAATTCATACAGGTAGTGATAGATCAACTGAAAAGTACAGAAAGCAACCAAGGTGATGTAGCAAAAAGCAGCCAGGCCAAGAAAAGTGAGAATCCCTCTCCTCTCCTCCCCTCTCCTCCCCTCCTCCTTCCCCCTCCTCCCCTCCCCTCCCCTCTCTCCTCTCCCCTCCACCCCCAGCTTAAAACTAACCTGCAATAACCCCAGTGTAGACCTCATCAACTGAGAAAAACCCTGGAGTCTGATAGCTCTGAGCCTGAGGTTAGCAGGTAGGGCTGCTAGTGCTGACAATCTTACATTTTGAAATATTCTAAAATAGGCAATTTCCTCACATTTACTGTATTGTTTTTTCTAAAAGTGTATTGTGGAACAAACAATATTTTCAGAAGTCTCATTAAGAAATGACCCAAAATAATGTAGAAAACAATTACTGACTTCTTATTAATTTTAATGCACCCTCTGGAACTACCTGCTGAGGTTCCACTTGACATCCACTGCTGAATTCCTCCAGCAGGATGATCAATACTTACAGTGTTTGCCAAGTATGAAGTCAGGTTTTCTGTCCATACAGATTCTTGTGCTTTGGTTGTGTTGTCACTTGTTACACATTTGGGAGACTCTAGCTAGAACATTAAACTACCTCAGGGGTACAATACTGGGAATCTCAAGAGAATCTGACCAGCTCACGGACTGACTGTAAAACTAAGTGTAGTCAGCTGAGACTCTTGATACACAGAGAAACCATTAAAGTTAGACAGCTCTAGTGTACTTTGGACACTTGTCCACTATATGCTTCTTACCAGCAAAAAGCATAGCAGAGACAAATGTCTACAAGTTAGTAAGTCTTCCCCTATCTTGTGTCTATTACTGATCATCTCCAAGTTTCAAGGGCAGAGAAAAGCTGTTCTAAGGCTTGCTCTGTTTCTCTTTCCTGTTTTTCTGCCTCTGTATTTTCCTTTTTTTCACTTTTAGCAGTATTTCTACCATATATATATGTATATATATATAATTTTTTTAAGAAGCAGGGCTTTCATGTTTTTACTCCCTAGCCACCCCCTTTCTTGTTATTTTGAGGCAGGATCATATGTAGTTCAGATGGGCCTCCAATTCACAATGTAGATAAGGATGACTTTCAACTTCTGATCTTCCAGCATCTATCTCCTGGTGCCACCATGCCCAGTTTTCTGTGGTGCTGGAGATGGACCCAAGGTTTTGTGCATGCTAAGCAAGTATTCACCAAGTGAGCTACAGTCCTAGATCCTTCTTTTCTTTTTTGCCTGTTTCCCTTCTTCTTACTATATCATATATTTTTACATTATTATTATTGCTTTTCGAGACAGGATTTCTCTGTGTAGCCCTGGCTGTCCTGGAACTTGATCTGTAGACCAGGTTGGCCCTGAACTGAGAAATCCACCTGCCTCTGCCTTCTAAGAGCTGGAATTAAAGGCTTAGATTACCATTTCCCAGCTTATTTTTGTTTTTTAAAGCTTTTACATTTTTATTTTTTAATCTCCTTTCTTACATTATCTATTTTGTTTCCAAACTTTGAGTAATGGGAATGCTCTTGTTGCTGTTGTTTTGAGACCAGTTATATAAATAAAGCAGGTCTTACACTCACTATGTATAGCTGAGAATGATCTCTGAACTCTCAAACTCATGATCATCCTGTCTCTACTTCCCGAGGACTAGGATTACAGAGGTGTGCCACTATGCTCAGATCGTTTTCTTTCTTTTTCTGATCTCTTAATCTTTTTCCAATTTTTAAATTAAAAAAATGCATGGAGGGTACTATGTGTATGTGTGTATATCTGTGTGTGCCATATGTATGTAGGTGCCTGCACACATCAGATGGGGGCAGGGCAGGTTCCTTGGAGTTAAGATCACAGGCAACTGTGAACTGTCCAATGTGGGTAGGTTCTGGGAACCAAACTCAGGTCCTTTGGTAGAGCAGCAAGTGCTCTTAACTGCTGAGCTATCTTTCCAAGCTGGCTCAATCTTTTTTCTTTCCTTTCATAACGTTCTTCTCCACTCTTCTTTTTTCCTGTTCTTTCATTTAACCTTGCTTTTCTTTTATTTCTTCCCGTCCCTTCCTTTATCTCATTCAGCATTATTTTCACATTTACTCTAAACAATTTTTAATTTTATTAAATTTTTGAGAATTCTACACAATGTATTTTGAACATATTTATCATCCCCATCCTATGCTTTGCAATTGTTTAACTTTGTAGCACACTATATTAATTTTGCTGCTTTATGGTCAGTGATATAGTATTGGGATTTAATCAGTGCTAACTGGCAATTGAACTTAATTTTGTAAAACCTGTATCCTGTCTCCCTTGCTATCTTAAATTTTGGATCAGATTTTTGCTCAGATATGCATGCAGACACGAAAATTATTTTGGGATATTCATTTAAAGCTGGTAATGCCACACTGCAAAAGGCTGAAGGAATCAGGGTAAGAGAAACTAGGATATTGTTATGATTTGTAGACATCACCATCAGTACATTACCAATGACAATCTTTTTACAACATCTTGTTCCAGACAACCAGATAGGTACCTAGAAATCCTCAGTCAATTGTTTTAAACCTGAAAGCTTAACTAATTTCATCTGTTCTTTCTGACTTTCTTTTCCATTAGTCATTCTCTCCAGGATCCCAGGAATAACAGTTCCAATCAATAGGCCTTATCTATAAACAACGTGTGATGATCCAAAACTAGACTCCTGGCCCTAGCTCTGAATGACCATCTGAGTCAATGATTAGCAAGATCAAGACTGACTACCTATGCATGTTTCTTGATCTTATTCCCACTTTTGTTTCTTCCAAATTAAAACCAGAAGCTCTGCAGTATCTCAAAGATAGAACTGAAGACATTTGGTCCTGTAGTACTTTCTGGTATAGCTATCCTGAATATAGTCTATAGCATCTTTACAAAGATGCTGTCATATCAGAGTATTCCAATGTACATCCAGAGTATTCCACAAAACTTTTGGAATATACATGATAGGCTCCCAACTATCAGCTGCTCCATGATCCCATAAATGTGGGAAGGAATTTCTTATGGTCACCCAGTGACAAAGGCAGTGCTGGAACACTGATTTTATCTCCAGCATTTTATATTTACACCTTTCTTCTTGAAGTTAAAAAAAAAAGCAAAACTCTTCCAATAGTGGTTAAAAAGTCTTTATTTCCTACCTGAAAAGGATGTGAAGATAAGAGCCCAGGCCAGTTAAAATATGCCACCATGCATGAAACTGTGTTGTAACACCTAGGATAGGGGGTGCTCTCTTTCGAAAGTTCCTGTGTGGAGAAGGTGAAAATCACTGTGTTACAATTGAAGATATACTAGTGCTGACAATGTTACATTTTGAAATATTCTAAAATAGGCAATTATTTAATTTCCTCACATTCACTGTATTGTTTTTTCTAAAAGCGTATTGTGGAACAAACAATATTTTCAGAAGTTTCATTAAGAAATGACTCAAAATAATGTAGAAAACAATTTACTGATCTCTTATTAATTTTAGTGCCTATTAATTAATTAAAGGCTTTGAACAAGTCTTACCATGGAATCTAACATTTTGTTCCAGGTAATCACTAATTCATGGGATTTTCTTTCTTTTTTTTTGGTATTACTTTATTAATACTCCGGAACAACTATTTTCTGGAACACACTTTGAGAATCACTAGTTCAGTTAGCTATTTGCTCAGGAAAGAATATACATGCATTTCCATCCATGTCAGTGTACCACTATACAGTCTGTAATTCTTATAATATCTATGATTTCACATCTAAGTGCTTCTTTGAGGGAGCAGTCATTAGCAAAGCTATATATAGCAGGAACTTAAAATTTGTAGATTAGTTTCCCAAGTCAGTCACCTAGGAGTTCAGATGGGTCTCAAATTCTTTTGGTTAAAGAAGTATATATTGGATGGGTGGTGGTGGCGGTGGCGGTGGCGGTGGCGGTGGCGGCGGTGGCGGTGGCGGCACACACCTTTATTCCCAGCACTCAGGAGGCAGAGGCAAGCAGATCTCTGTGAATTAGAAGCCAGCCTGGTCTTCAAAGAGATTTCCAGGACAGTTTCCAAAAACAAAACAAAACAAAAGTATCTATCATTCTAATATTTATTGGAGAAGAATACCAATGCGGAATGCTAACTTGAGGCCATATCATAGATTAGTGGATCACACCCAGGGGATCACACTCAGTATAAAAGCTCCACTCTCCTAGGCATTCTGCCGGATATTTCTAATTCAGAAGCATGCATCTAGGTCTTAGTTACTTACTTTATTCTTTCTACCCTGCCCCTTCCCAGGGTTTCATGTAGTCTAGGCTAGCTTTCATGTCTTTAACTCTGCCTAGAGTTCTGGGATCATGGGCATACACCACCATATCCAGCTAGATCTTAGTGTTTAAGCAAGGAATGTATTTACTTGTCTACATTTATACAACTTTTTACTGTAGGGATCTAAACAAAGTATATCCTTACCTACATTTAAAAGTTCCACAGTTACACATGCAACTTTTTAATATAGGAAATTTTGAGAATTTCAAATACATGCAAAGGTATGCAAAGTAAGAGCCATATGTAGTGGTATATACTATCAAGGCTAAGCACTGGGCTGAGTTTCGGGAAGTCCAGTCCACTAGAGGGAGGAGGGATTACATCAACAAGGAAGGTCAGGATCATGATGGGGGAACCCACAGGGACAGCTGACCGGAGTTCATGGGACCTCACAGACTCTGGGGAGTCCAAGCTCATGGGACCTCATGGACAGCTGGAGAGTATGCATGGGACCGAACTAGGACCTTTACATGTGGGTGACAGTTGTATAGTTTGGTCTGTTTGTGGGGCCCCTGGCAGTGGGACCAGGATCTATCCTTAGTGTATGAGCTGGCTTTTTGGAGCCCATTCCCTATGGTGGGATGCCTTGCTCAGTCTTGATGCAGCAGGGAGGTTGCCTGGGCCTGCCTCAACTTGATGTACCAGGCTTTGCTGACTCTCCAAGGGAGTCCTTATTCTTTCTGGGGAGTGGATGGGAGGTGAGGTAGAAGGGAGGTTGGGGAGGAAGCAGGAGGAGGGGGAGGGAGGGAGAACTGTGGTTGGTAAGTAAAATGAATAAAAAAATTATAATAAAAATTCTCTACTTAATATTATGCTTCCAAAATTATTTTCTGGGAATGAAAATATATCTTACCTCAGTGAATCACAAAAGATGTTATCTACATTCCACAATAAAAATCCCAATAAAAAGATAGTCAAGGATGTATAACCTAGTCCTCTAAGCCATGGATAAACCCTGTGGAGAAAAGAAAAGCAAAATGACAAATCTTCAAGTCACAACATGATCAGAAGTGGAGAAAGATGGAATACAGTAAATTAGATACTGCAGAAAGATGAATAATAAGTATCCTCTTATAAATTATTTGCACAGAATTGGGCAGTGTATATTCCACTTGGTAATGTAGTAATTGGAGTAAATGTGAACAACAAGCATCACTTGGATTCTGCCAGCAGGGCAGGCTTGGGAACAGTCAGGACCCCTTTGGCATGATGATGCCTGAAGGGCACATTTCTGCCACGCTTCTGCGTGTGTGTGTGTGTGTGTGTGTGTGTGTGTGTGTGTGTGTGAGAGCGTGTATAAAACCTGAAACTTGAAATTGAAAGTCACCATTTCTTTTACTGGAGGACATTTGCTTTCAGGACTCAATCTTTCACTATGTGTCTTTCTGGTTCTAGTATCATGATGGGAAAACAGCTCAAATTATTCAGGCATTTAAAAAATTATTTTACATTTATTTATTTTGTGTGTGTGTATGCATACAGGTATATACATGCAGTGAGTACCATAGTATACATGTGGAGGTCAGAGACCAACTCACAGGATTTGGTTCTCCTTTTTCACCATGTGAGTCCTGGAATTAAACTCAGGTCATCAGGTTTGGCTAAGCAAGCACCTTTATTCACAGAGTAACCTTTCAGGCCCTAAACTAAAAACTTTCGTTTCTGTTTATTCTGAGGCTCTTGAAACTTAAGATGTTAGTGTACTAGCATCTTCCAGTGCCTTCAAGCTAACTATTATATAACACTCATTTATTTCGCAGCTTCTTTGGATTTGATGCTTTAGAATTCTTCTCATGCCCCTTTAAGCTAGCTAGTATTTAAAATTTATTGTGTTTTATTCAGACTAGCCAAGTGTTTTGTTACAGAAGGAATTTTAAGATCTTGGTCACATTTAAAAACAGAATTTGATCACTTCTATTTGATATTAAGAAACTTTGTACAGAAGAATGGTCCTGGGTTCTAGGGATTATCAAGTTAACTAAGTCTTAAGCTCACAAAGAGGTGGTGCACTCCTTTAATTCCTTTAATCCCAATAGTCAGGAGGCAGTGGCAGATAATTTCTGAGTTCAAGGCCAGCCTGGTCTACAGAGTTCCAGCATAGCCAGGACTACACAGAGAAACCCTGTCTTGAAAAATAAACAAACAAAACCCCAAAACAACATCAACAAACCCCTCACAATGCAGTCAGAGACAGATAAGAAGAAAACACAATGTAGTCTGGGACAGATAAGGGGAAAACACATTGTAGTCAGATACAGACAGGAAGAAAATGAACAACACTAAATGAAATGATCACTAAACAGAGATACAAGAAAGAAGGTACTACAAGGCAGATAAAAGATGATTTTGTTTCATAGTTGTTACTAGTAAATACTTTAAAAAGTCTTTTTATTATAGGAGAGGGTGGGCAAGTGTGTGTGTGTGTGTGTGTGTGTGTGTGTGTGTGTATACTTTGTTGGTACCTTGGCATGTTGTTTTTGGGGATTGGTTCTCTCCATTTAACTGTCAAAAGTTAAATTTTAACTTGTGGCTCCTGGGAACTGGAGGGAAGTGCCTTTATCTACTTACCGAGCCATCTCACCAGCCCATTGGTAAGTTCTTTTTAAAAGGTATTTGTGTTTCTTAGCATACCTATATCCTATCAGACTGGAATTAAGAATTAAAATGTTTTATGTTAGGTGCTCAGATTACAAACAGAATAAAGTGGGGAAAGATGGAGTAAACTGAGTTTTTCCTATTCTTTCTACTAAATTCCACAAAATCCTATGTATTAAATGTAATGTTAAATAGACATTAGAAGACTTTGAAAGGTAGGGAGAAGGATGTAGACTAGGTATGGGTTCTGAGACCTGAAAAATGATAGTGTTAAGTTTCCTATGTTTTCTTTTAAAATTAATATTTTAATTAACACATTATAACAAATTGTGATTATATCTACTTATGGAATACAAGCTTATGTTCTATGTATACAATCTGAAGTAATTAAATCAAGCTAATTAATATCTGTCTCACTTGTCATTTTTCCGTGGTAACATATTTGAAATTTATTCTCTTAGCTGTTTTGAAATGCACATTACTAACCATAGTAAACTATTGTACTATAGACCTCAAAAACTTACTCCTTTTGTCTGATCCATTGTACCCTTCTGCCAACATTTTCCCATTGCCTTGCTGCTCCACCCCTAGCCTCTATAACCACCATTTACTCTACACTTACAAGAGTTCAGCATTTTCAGTTTCTACATGTAAGAAAGACTGTGTGGCATACGTGATATTCTTTTTCTAAAAACTAATCTTTAAAATTACATTTATTTATTTATTTATTTATTTAGTGTGGCATGTGTACACAGGTGCCTTGGAAGGGTAACTTACAGAAGTTAGTTCTCTCCTCCCAGGGATGGAACTCCGATTGCCAGTCATTCTAAGCCATCTCACCAACTCAAGTGGTATTTCTACTTAAACCTGGCTTATTTCACTTAGCACAATACTCTTCAGGTTTATCTACCATATGCATTCTTTGTTTGAGTGCTTGATTTTTTTAAGACAGATTTCTTCGTGTAGCTCTGGATGTCCAGGTACTAGCTCTGTAGACCAGGTTGTCCTCAAACTCACAGACATCCTCCTGCTTCTGCCTCCCAAGTGTGTATGACCACTGCCTGGCACCACATGCGTTCTTCTGGGCTACTCTGGACTTAGAAGGGAACTAGCCAGTATATGAAGTCTAGGCACAGACAGAAAAAGTCCCAACAAAACCTACTTTCTCCACCAAATGAATCAAGATAAGAGCCAGCCTTGAAACACAGAAACTTAAAATAATAATCACCTACTTTAGTCTCAGACTCTTTCTCTCTCTTACACACACACACACACACACACACACACACACACACACACACACACACACACACACAGTGTAGTCCCTTCTCCAAGCCATTCAGCAAATTGGGTCCAGACATCCTTATTAGGTATCTAGGAAAAAGAGGCAGAAGGATCACAAGTTCATGACCAGCATGGGCAACACAGCAAGACTGTCTTGTCTTAAACAACAAAACCAGAAAATACACTTCCCTTTTCTTGAGTTTTTAAAGAAAATGTATCGAGGCAAAAATCACAATGTCATCTGATGTGTTTCTAAATTTATGTAGAGAAAATATTTCAGGTAATTATATTTTAAATGGAACAAGACACATGTTGAATTATTCTCTTCTCCACTACCAAAATACATTTAACTCCTAACCCTAGTACTTCAGAATGACTTTATTTCTTGATGGGGAAGTCCTGTGTATATGTCAATAAAGCACTGTTGGCTAATAGGGAAGCAAGATAGGTGGGACTAGGAGTAGAGAAGGATTCTGAGTAGGAGAAACACAGGGAGTCATCAAACACAGGGAGTCATCATGTAGCCCCCCCAGAGAAGTAAGATGTCCGTCCGGTAAGAGAAAAACTTAGATGGGTTAAATACTTAAGTCAGAGCTAGCCAGTAAGAAACAAGCAAGGCCAACAGCTTCATAATTAATACAGCGTCTTGTGTGTTATTTGGGGACTACAACTCGGCAGAGCCCAGGTGACTGCCGGGGAAAAACCAAAGCAGCTGGCAAGGAAAAGGCTTCTCTCTACAATTTCTAACTAGGGTCACTGATGATCTTTCATGAAATAAAAATTGCTGATGAGAATACAGAAAAATTGAATCACACATACATTATGGGCAAAAAACGTAAAAATGGCAGAACCACTCTGGAAAACATTTCTGCAGTTTTAAGAAAAACTAAACATACAATTTCCATACATCCCAACAATTCTACTCTGCGACTTTATTCCAGAGAAAAGAGAACAAGTGTTTTTCCAAAGTCTTGTACATAAATGTCATAGTAGCTTTACAACAGCCCCAATCTGTAAGTTACTCCACTGTGGTACATCTATACCATTGGAATATTACTCAGCAAGAGAAGTATGCACTATTATCTGGAGGATTATACCGAGGTTCAAAAAACAATCTCTAAGGCTATATTCCATATGGATTTATTTATAAAACTTGCTTGAGAAGACAAAACTATAAATATAAAAAAAAGGCTAGTAATTGTCAGGGATTAAGAACAGGGAGCAGGGGGTAGGAAGTAAATGAGGTGATAAAGGGACAACACAGGGATCCTTCTGCTAAAGTGTTTTATGTCTCCATTGTGTTAGTATCAACTCCTGATTGATACTATATTATACATGCACTTCTACATTATAAAAGATTGTACCACTTGGGCTGAGCACCCAGTGTATAGGTAGGACCTACGTAAGGTAATCTCACTTGTTGGACCCCAGACCCCACGGGGTCTCTGTGAGTCACTGGTCAGTCACAAGTCAATCCTGTTTTTCAGTCTAAGCGCATCCTGTTTTCTAGTCCTGGCTTCCTGCCCTGGCCTTGACCCTCTGACATCAACATCCAGCAGGAGGAAAACACTCAGTCTTCCACCTGGGGTTTTTCCACTGTGCTGTAAATCTGTATATAAGACTGCTCCCTCCTACTAGAGAGAGACCTCTTAGCACTTGCAATAAAGACACACACACACACACACACACACACACACACACACACACACACACACACACTTACTTTCTCTCCCTCCCTCCCTCCTCTTCCCTCCCTCCTTCTTCCCTCCCTCCCTCTCTCTCTCCTACATGCATCCTCTTAGTACAAACAGCTGGATATCTTGTCTTTCTTTTCCTGATACCTTGGACTTGCTTGTGGTGTGGGCACCACACTCACTAGTATAATTTAATTTTCATAAATACTTTTTTTTGAGACAGGGTTTCTCTGCTGGCTGTCCTGGAACTCACTCTGGAGACCAGGCTGGCCTTGAACTCACAGAGATCCATCTGCCTCTGTCTTCAAGTACGAGGGTTAAAACTGTGTGCCAGCACCACCTAAGATAAATTCTTACTAAAGATTAGGTATAACTCTTAAATGATCTTCTGTGAAATACTTGGTGGGAGGAGGTGGTGCTCAGGATGAAACTGGCCTATGCCAGCTAAGTGCTCTGCTGCTAAACTGCTTTCCCAGCCTGTGAAACGTTTTATGACATGACATTCTTCCTTGAGGTGTTACTTAACTTAGTCAACCAAGTCTGAGAAACAAAAACGTTTTTAATTTTTTAAAAGTTTTTTAAAAAAATGCATTTTATATATAGGAGTCCTCTATTTGCATGTATGTCAGAAGGTGGCATCGGATTCCATAATAGATGGTTGTGAGCCACCATGTGGTTGTTGGGAATTTCACTTAGGAACTCTGGAAGAACAGTCAATGCTCTTAACTGCTGAGCCATCTCTCTATCCCAATAAAAACATTTTTTTAATGTAGTACTTTTCAAAGTCTTTAACATCCTAGTCAATGCTATACATAATCAAGTAGATGTCTCATATATAGTTTTCTTCAAATTTCTTTAATTTTAGAACTCTTGTTTTTACATGATGCACATTAATAAGTTACTTGAAGAACAAGCCTTCTGTACATCATAAATAAGTATGGGTTATAGTTTTCTAGCACTATTTTGCTAGAGTTAGGTTTTATTTTATTCCAATTTAGGCTATAGATTTATGGTTACAAGCCTGAGTATATTTTTATCAGAATGTTGATGATAGATGCAAACTACTTACCACGTGACAATATAAATAGAACGAAGTACTAATGTAAAGACCAACATTCCATACATGACCTGAAGAGGGAAGAAAAAGAAAATGGTCAGTACAACTTTTCCTTTCTTCCTTCCCTCCTTACTTCCTTCTCATCCATCCATCCATCCATCCATCCATCCATCCATCCATCCATCCATCCATCCATCCATCCTTCCATGTATGTTGTGGTAACAAGAATTAAACTGGAGCCTCATACATACTAGGGAAGTGTTCTGTCACTGAGCTACTATATCCTTTATTTAAAAAAATTATTATTTTTTACATTCCAATCCCAGTTCCCCTCCCTCCTCTCTTCCTGTTTCCCCCATCTCCCCCCGATCTGCTCCTCAGAGAGGGTAAAGTCTCCCCTAGGAAGTCTACTAAGTCTGTCCCATCATCCTCTTGAGGCAGGACCAAGGCACTTCCCCACCTCCCTCACCCGTGTCTAGACTGAACAAGGTATCTCTCCATATAGAATGGGCTCCACTAACTCTGTTTGTGTATTAGAGTTAGATCTTGGACCCACTGTCAGTGGCCTTATATACTGCCCCAGCTGCACCATTGTCACCTACATTAAGGGAACCTAGTTCAGTCTTATGCAGGTTCCCCATTTGTCAGACCAGAGTCAGTGATCTCTCACTAGCTCAGGTCAGCTGATTCTGTGGGTTTCCCCATCATGGTCTTGACTCCCTTGTTCATATTATCCCTCCTCCCTCACTTTAATTGTACTCCAGGAGCTCGGCCCAATGGTTAGTTGTGGATTTCTGCATCTGCTTCCATCTGTTTTTGGAAGAGAGTTATAGCTTCTCTGGGGTTGTGGATTATAGGATGGGTATCTTTTGCTTTATGTCTACTATCCACTTATGAGTACATACTATATTTGTCTTTCTAGCTCTGGGATTTGCCTGCAAAAGTTAGGATGTTACTGTTTCTTACCACTGTGCTGTACTCTATTGTGTAAATGTGCCACATTTTCTTTATCCATTCTTCAGTTGAGACACATCTAGGCTGTTTCTAGGTTTTGGTTATTATGAATAATAATGCTATGAACATAGGTGAGCAAATGTCCTTGTGATGTGAATATGCCTCCTTTGGGTATATGCCCAAGAGTGGTATTGCAGGGTCTTGAGGTAGGTTGATTCCTAATTTTCTGAGTGATTTCCACAGCGGTTGTACAAGTTTGCATTCCCACCAACAATGGAGAAGTGTTCCCCTCTCTCCATATTCTCCCCAGCATAAGTTGTCATTGTTGTTTTGATCTTAGCCATTCTGACAGGTGTAAGATGGTATCTCAGAGTTATTTTGATTTGCATTTCCCTGATAACTAAGGATGCTGAGCATTTCCTTAAGTGTCTTTTCACCATTTAAGACTGTTTTGTTGAGAATTCTCTATTTAGATCTATACCTCATTTTTTAATTAATTATTTGGTAATTTAATGTCTAGTTTCTTGAGTTCTTTATATATTTTGGAGGTCATCCCTCTGTCAGATGTGGGGTTGGTGAAGATATTTTTTCCATTCTGTAGGGAGCCGTTTTTGTCTTCTTGACCTGTTGTTTGTTTTACAGAAGCTTCTTAGTTTCAGGAATTAACTATTGCTCTCAGTGTCTGTGCTACTGGTGTTCTACTTAGGAAGTGGTCTCCTGTGCCAATCATTCAAATGTATTTCCCACATTCTCTTCTGTGAGGTTCAATATGGATAGATTTATGTTGATGTCTCTGATCCATTTAGACTTGTGTTCTGTTCATGGCGATAGATACGGATTTACGTTCTTCTCCACGTTGACAGCCAGTTATACCAGCACCATGTGTTGAATATGTTTTCTTTTTTCCATTGTATAACTTTAGCTTCTTTGTCAAAAATCAGGTGCTTATAGGTGTATGGGTTGATATCATGGTCTTCAATTCTATTCCATTTGTCCCCGTCTGTTTTTATGCCAAATCAAGATGTTTTCATGGCTCTATAGTAGAACTTGAAGTTAGGGATGGTGATGCTCCCAGATGATCCTTTATTGTACAGGGTTGTTTTGGCTATCCTGGGTTTTTTGTTCTTTCCAGGTCTGTGAAGAATTGTGCTGGGATTTTGATGAGGATTGCATTGAATCTGTATATTATTTTTGGTAGGATTACCATTTTTACTATGTTTAACCTACCTATCCAAGAGCATAGGATATCTTTTCATCTTCTGATATCTTCTCCAGCTTCTTTCTTCAAAGACACGTCTTTCACTTGCTTGGTTAGAGTTACACTAAGATATTTTATATTATTTTTGGCTATTATGAAGGGTTTTGCTTTCCTGATTTTTTTTCTCAGACTATTTATCGATTGTATAGAGGATGGGTACTGATTTTCTTTGTGAGTTAATTTTCTATCCAGCTACTCTGATGAAGGTATTTACCAGCTGTAGGAGTTCCCTGGTAGAATTTTTGGAGTCACTTATGTGTACTATCATATCATCTGCAAATAGCAATACTTTGACTTCTTCCTTTCCAATTTGTATCTCCTTGATTTCCTTTTGTTGTTTTATTACTCTAGCTAGAACTTCAAGTACTATATTGAGTAGATATGGAGAGAGTGGACAGCCTTGTCTTGTTCCTGATTTTAGAGGAATCGCATTGAGTTTCTCTCCATTTAGTTTGATGTTCACTGTTGGGTTACTGTATATTGCCTTTATTTTGTTTAGGTGTGTTCCTTGTATCCATATTCTCTCCAAGACCTTTATCATGACAGGGTGTTAAATATTGTTGAAGGCTTCTTCAGCATCTAATGAGATGATCATGTGGCTTTTTTCTTTTAGTTTGTTTATATGGAGGATTACACTGACAAATTTTCATATGTTGAACCATCTCTGCATCTCTGGGATGAATCCTACTTGGTCACGGTTGATCTTCTGCTGTGTTCTTGGATTCCGTTTGCCAGTATTTTATTGAGTATTTTTGCATCAATGTTCATGAGGGAAATTGGCCTGCAACTGGTATTTCCAAGGAAGAACACACCAATTGGTTGTCCAGTGTCAAATGATCACCAAGAAAACATAGATACAGGTAGCAATATATGGACCAAATAGGTTATATTTAGGAATATATTTGTATACACATATACATATATGCATGCAGTAACAATTAGGTTTTTTTTGTTTTTTTGTTTTTAAGGCCATGAATTTGAAGGAGCATGGGAGGAGTACATGAGAAGGTTTAGAGGGAAGAAAGGGAAAGGTAATTATAATCTTATTTATTTATTTATTTTTGAGACAGGATTTCTTTGTGTAGCCCTGGCTGTCCTGGAACTTGATCTGTAGACCAGGTTGGCCTCAAACTAAGAGCTCTGCCTGCCTTTGCCTCTCAAATGCTGGGGTTAAGGACTTCCTGCCTTAAATTTTAATCTTGTTTAAAAAAAAAAGCAAGCTGAGTAATCCATGAGGAGGAAGCCAGTAAGTCTCAGTTTAAGTTCCTACCTCCAGGTTCCTGCTTGAGATCCTGCCTTGACTTCCCTACATGATGGACTGTAAGCTGTAAAATGAAAGAAACCTTTTTCCTCTCAAGTTTCTTTTAGTCATGGTATTTATTGCATCAACAGAAGCAAGCTAGGATATTCTCTGAAGTCTTTTTTATTTATTTCTTTTTAAAAAATTAACTTTATTTATTTTACATCCCAACCTCAGCTTTCCATCTCTCCTCTCCCCCTGTTCCCAAATCTACTCCTACTCTATTTCTGTTCAGAAAGGGGCAGGCCTCCCATGGGTATCAACAAAGCATGGCTTATCAAGTTGTGGTAGGACTAAGCACCTCCCCTTGTATTAAGGCTGGGTAAGGCAATCCAGTAGGAGGAATAATTCTTAAATTTTCTCTTGCTCCTGACTCCTGAGTGCTAAGATAGGTGGGCACCACCAAGCACAACTATCTTTCTATATGTAACTTCCTCCAACAGTCAGGAATAGCTGTTTGCTCAATTGTTTGATAGATTATTATAAAGAACAGTACAAAGGATGTAGATGAGTAAGAGAAGGTATGGAAGAAGGCACACAAATTTTTCAATTTTTCATGCCCACTCTTAGCATGCTATTGTTCCACTTTCTGGAAGCACTAATCTTGCCTGTGTGTGTGTGTGTGTGTGTGTGTGTGTGTGTGTGTGTGTGTGTGTGTATGTGTGTGTGAGCACGAGCACCAGAATGTGTAGTCACATGCTGAGGACATAGATATCCTGATTTTTTAATCTCTGGGCCTAGGGTATAAAACACAATGGACATAAGCAAACTCAGTTTTCAACCTGCTTTTCTTTTTTATCAGCATACAGTATTGTTATATGTATAAAAGGAAATATTTCTTGCTGGAAAACACATAGCTATTGCATTATGGGTAGGTTACATTGATATTTTGTTACAAATCAGATTTGAATAAGCTTAAAACACAAAATGGAATCTGATGATCATAAAATTACAAATCTTTCTAAATAAAATGGCAATTATATAATGATATCACTGTAAATTACAATAAATAAGAAAGTGATGATGCCCTTTACTATAGTGTTGATGAGTACATATGCTTCCAAAGGCATGAAGAAAAAAAGCAAGGCGCCATAAGGAAGTTACAGATTTTATTTTAACAAACAGAATACAGTTATATAATTAATGTATTGAGTTAGAGGAATATTTATTTTCTATATTAGCATTTAAAAGTATGAGTATGACATTCATGACATGTAGTCATGTATGTATGTATACATGTACTATGTATGTATATACGTATGTATTTTAGTTAGTTTGTTAATAGAATGGTAGCAGGAGTCATATATTAGTTACTTTTCTATTGCTGTAGGGAACACCAAGACCAAGGGAACTTACAGAAGAAAGGGTTTATTTGGGCTTATGGTTTAAGAGGGTTAGAATACATGGTGCAGAGTGGAGGCAGCAAACTACAAGAATGGTGGCTGGACTTCAAGCTGAGGGCCCACATCTCTAACCACAAGCAGAACTCAAAATGACAGCCAAATCTTTATACTCTTAAAGCCCACCTTCAGTCAACAAGAGACCACTTCCTAAACCTCCCGAACAGCACCCTCATCTGGGGACTAAGTATTCAAACATCTGAGCCTCTGGGGCACATTCTCATTCAAACTACAAGTCATATAAGTCTAGGTTATGATCCTAGCTCTACCTTATACTGTATTTGCTGTCTGAAGGCAACTGATTTCATATCTGAGCTCATTTCCCTTAAGATATTCAGACTAATCCCTGATATGTAGGGCTGTCAATGAGAATAAAAGTTTGAAGTCTATATGGTATCAGGCATAGTACTCCATCAATAACCCCCACCTCAAAAAAATCCATTAAATATATTAAGGATAAAGTATTTGAGGAATTTGCAGTTTAGTCTTTTCTATATCATAATATTATAAAGACTTTTCTGGACACAAGATCTAACATAGGCTAATCTAGTCTCATACTAACTATGGAGGTAGGGCTAGCCTGATCCTCCTTCCTCCATCTCCCAAGTACTGGCATTACAGGTGTGTGGTACCACATTAGGTTTCATGAAAAGATTTTATGTGTGTGCATATACATGAAGCTCCAGGGTTCTTTTAGCTTCTAAAAGCGATACTGTAGCTGTGTTACTGAATACCAACATTACTGTGACATTGGCTGTCCCAGTTTTATTCCTATTACAGATGCCTAGCTCCTGTTTGCAGCTCCTTTGTTTTGAAATTCTTTTTGGAGTACTACCACATTTTAATCACAGCACTGGGGCAAGCAGCAGAGACCTCTATGAGTTAAAGGTCAATTTGATCTACACAGAGCTCCAGACCAACAAGGACTGTATCCAGCACAGTCATAAAGTCCCTGCTGGCCTTGAATTGACTTTGTAGCTGAGGATGACCTTGAAGTCCTCCCGCTAGGATCTCTTAAGTACTGGAATGTATCATTATTCTAGGCCAGTGGTTCTCAACCTGTGGGTCATGATCCCTTTGGGGGGGGTGTTGAATAACCCTTTCACAGGGGTGGCATATCATATACCCTGTATGTCAGATATTTATATTATAATTCATAACAGTATCAAAAGTACAGTTATGAAGTAGCAATGAAAGAATTTTATGGTTGGAGGGTCACCACAACATGAGAAACTATATTAAAGGGTTGCAGCATTAGGAAGGTTGAGAACTAGTATTCTAGGCTAATAGTAGATTCTTGACATTTTACCAGTTCATTTTCAAAAGTTATAGCAGCATATAATTTCCTAGAGAAGGGAAACACAGACAACAGGCATATACTGTTAAACAATTAAATGTTTCATAACTAAATAAAAAATCAGGCTGGAGAGATGGCTCATTAGTTAAGGAAACTTCTTACTCTTGCAGAAGACCCAGGTTTGATTCCCAGAACCCATGTGGCAGCCCAAAACCATTCATAACTTCAGTTCCAGGGAATCTGATACCTTCTTCTGGACTTCACATACCCCAAGCATGCACATGGTACACAGAGATACATGCAAGCAAAACACTCATATAAATAACATAAAATAAATAAATCTTTAACAAAATTACCTGATGGAATATAGGCTCTTTTACTTTTAGGTAAATCTGAAAAATATTAGAAGAAACATTAATGAAGGAAGGTATATAAAAACCTATTCCAACCACCCTTCAAATCCCAAACATCTTCTTCATCTATGTTATTCCAACTAGATTTCAGCCACATAAAACCAACCAAACTAATGGCATGGCACAGGAAGGCTAGCACCTACCTTGTCATTCTAGCCCAGCCATGGCAAATGAAATAATTAAATATTTCAATCAACAATGGGCTGCTTCAGCATTGGTCTTTGTGTTACCATCAAGGACAGTCAAGGATACAAGGTTATTCATGGAGCATGAATAAATTATCTCAATAGTCCCTGTATCAGTAGAAAGAATACTGTACTCAGGGACCAAAGTCAAATTTCTAGCTCTTCCACTTAATTGCTATAGGCTTTCAGTAAGTGCCATTTAACTTAAATGAATTGATCCTTACCTGAAGAAAGGAGAATAGCAGCATGGAGAATGCTAAACTAAAGTACACACAAGGATCTAGACATACTAGGTTATCAGTAAGTGAAGCCATTTAAACCAATTCCTTATAGTCATTTCTGCTTCCAAACTATTCACTACCTAAATACATCTCCAGTTATACAGGTTCCAGTGTCTTGTGCACGTTAAGTTCAATGCCTTTGTAAGATTTAATATGTATATATTGTCTACAGCAGTACAACTTTTAAATGACACAGTACAAAGGAATCAAAATTCAAATCAACCCTTCAATGACTCTTACACTACCACAACAAAGTTCAGACTTCTTAACTTGACATCCAAAGCCTCCCACAGCTGCTGTCTTCCTGTCTGTCTTCACTGCTTTCTTCTCTTACGCTAATCTCCACAGAGCATTATGCTTCTTTAAATGCATCACTTTTATGCTTTTGCATCCGTAAACATATTGCTCTTTACTTTGTTCAGAAATCCTTCCCAACTTACAAATACTTTTGAAATTCAACATAAATTATTCCTTCTTGAAGTCTTTTCTGGTCTCTCCCATTTCCAAGAGAAGCAACTATTCACCATCTACCTATAAGGTTTATGGCAGTGACCTTCCTAATGCTGTGACTCTTCAATATAATTCATGTTGTGGTGACCCACAACCATAAAGTTCTTTAGTTACTTAATAACTTACTTAATAACTACTTAATAACTGTAAATTTGCTACGGTTATGAACTGTAATGTAATATCTAATATGCAAGATATCAGATATGTGACCCCTTTAGTGGTTACAACCCAAAGGTTGAGAAATACTACTTTATGGCATTCTATTGGTTTGTTGCTTTTCTCTATAAGATAATAATCTCTTTGCTATCTAGAACTGGGCTTAGACATCTTTATGTCTTCATTTTTAATGTAGTAATCTAATGAAACATAGTTTTAAAAGTTAGCTAAAAATTTACTTCTGAAATAAGTTTCTTACTATAAAAAGACCACAATAATTTCCTTTAAGAAGTCAAAGGACTTTGACTGAAACATTACCTGTAAGTATAAATTCAATAAAGAGAATGTACCTAATCTGTGTTTATTTCAAAATACTAACTGGAACCCATTATGTAGTGTAGGCTGGCCTTGAACTCACAATCCTCCTGCTTCTATCTCCTGAGTGCAGGGATTATAGGTATGCACCAACAAGCCAGGCTTAAGGGCATGTCTCGTCAACTATGTTTTCTAGGCCAAGAATTATGGAGACCTTATTATGTGTCAGGTCTTAATATTATAGTTAGCATAAAAAATGTTCTATTTTAGCCAGACAGAGGTAGGGCTTTTAATCCCAGCACTTGGGAGGCAGAGGCAGGCAGATCTCTGTGAGCTCAAGACTAGCCTGGTCTACAGACCGAGTTCCAGGACAGGCTCCAATGCTACACAGAAAAACCCTGTCTCTGAAAACGAACAAACAAACAAAAGTTCTATTTTATCTTCATTTTATGGTAAGAAAAATTACATCTGAGAGAGAAGTATAAATATTAAGCCAAATTCACATCCAACTGATTCCAAAGCTTGATTTGTTTCTAACTGTCACATCTCTTAACTTATAAATTATATAGTTAAAGATGACCTCAAACTTCTGATCTTCCTGCTTCCACTTTCCTAAATTAGGTTTTGGGAATGCAGACATACACCAACACACTTGATTTTATTCAGGGCTGAGGGTATAGTCTAGGGTGTTCTGTACACTAGGCAAGCACTTTACCAACTAGACTATAACCGCACTCTTACATATTTCATATGTAGTTTTATTTTTTAATTTTAACTTAATTTTTTTGTCTTGTTTTTCAAGACAGGGTTTCTCTTATGTAGCCTTGCTTATCCTGAAACTTATTCTGTAGACCAGGCTGGCATCAAACTCAGAGATCCACCTGCTTGTCTCCTGAGTACTGGGATTAAAGTGTATGCCACCACCACCTGGCAATTTAATTTTTATATTTTAAGACTCATGTAGCCTGCTCCTGAAATTTGGGGTGTAGAAAAAATTGCCTTTAACTTATGACCCTCCTGTCTTTGCCTCGTGAGTGCTGGGATTACAGGCCCTTCCCAACATGCTGACTCCATGTTTTAATTTTAAAAGAAGGTCTTGCTGTATAGTCTATGCTCGCCTCAAATTTGGGAAGTCATGCCTTGGCCTGATAAGTGCTAGGACTACAGTCATGTGTCACAACTTACATGGTTAATAGGCTAACAACCAGGCTATAAGAGGAGAAGCCACTCTGCACCAAAGGGCCATACATCACTGATTTAATCTCCAGACTCCTCTAATCTATCTTCTGTGACACATAATTTTTCTAACACTTGTCTGATTAAATATTTTTTTACTTTATGGATCGGTACTACTTAGAGAACAAATTTAAACTCTTAAACATAGCACACACGGGACTTTATTACCTGACATTTTGTCTAACTCACCAGACCCATTTACTACTTTCCTCTACCATATGGCAATCAACTGTATAAAACCTCTCTCGATTGTACCCATGATAATTTAATTGGGCAATCAAGGCAAAGTATTCAGTAAACATCTGGCACATAGTAATATAAAAAAAATCAATTCACTGTGCTCTTCTAAGGTCTGAGTGTATGGAAATACAAAAAACTAAAAAAAAACAAAAACAAACAAACAAACAAACAAAAAAACGCCTTGCCACACTGTTGCCCAGAGGCCTGAAAAACTGCTGTTCATCAGTTAAAATCTAACTCAAGAGATTCTTCTCTGAAGTTTGCCCTGACCTACTCTAAAAGTATTTTTTGTTGTTTTTGTTTCCTCAGACAGTCTTTTGATGTAGCCCAGGATAGTCTCAAGCCATCATGTCTGGTTCAAACAGTAACCTTAGTTTTTGTTTTCTAAGTTCTAGGCTAAGAACAGAACGTTTTGTAGTCCAGGGTGACCTCAAGCCTATGTACAATCCTAATCAAGCAGTATTTTATTTAATTAAAATAAGAAAGGAAGTGGAGGCATGCTGAGACAAAGTCATATAGATAAAGCTGGCCTAGAACATACTATATAGTTCAGGATGGCCTCAAACTTCTTATCCTCTTTAGCCTCTAGGTGTTGGGATAATAAGAACACACCATCATCATGGCTTCAAGAATAAACTAAATTTTAAGCAATTTATTTATATTATGTTTTAATTATTTGTGTTCATGTGCACACACATGAACATTCCTGCACATGAGTGCAGGTGATGTGAAGGCAACAAATCCATCTAAAGTTAGGGTAACAGGTGTTTGTGAACCACCTGAAATGGGAACCAAATTGGGGTCTTTTCTAAGAGAGGTGTGCATTTTAACTACTGAGCCATCCCTCCAGTCCCAAAATTAATTGGTTTTTAAAAATGATTCATAAAGACAAAAATTACACATATGTGTGATGTGTAATGCACTCACATGGTCTTAATTGATCCTCTTTTCTCACATCACTATATGACAGGTTTTTACCTTTATTCTTGCAGTCATTATCTTTTGATGCAAGTCGTTGTTCCTGTTTAACTTCCCTAGTAGAATGAGTTCCCTTATGGATATCAACTGCTTAAGTCACTTTTGTATGTCTAGTTTCTGACACAAATTTCCAATTAACATTTTCTTAATTCAAGGTTAACAATGAAAACAGTCACAGTGGGGCCAATGTGGAAAACTTCACTTCTTGTTTTTAACAAATAAGAGATAGTAAATTTATCTTTGAGAAAAGCAATTTTTCTCATCCCTACTAACTAAATGTTTACATTTCAACCTTTTCTTCGTCTTCAAAAAACACGTTAAAAATTATTTGGGGAACTGAAGAGATGGCTCATTAGTAAAGAGCATTTGCTGTTTTTGTAGAGGCCCCAGATTCAGTTCCCAGCACCTACATGGTGGCTCACAACCATCTGAAACTCCAGGGGATCTAATATCCTCTGACCTCTGGAGGCATCAGTCACACAAATGGTGCACATACATATAGACAAAACACTCTCTCTCTCTCTCTCTCTCTCTCTCTCTCTCTCTCTCTCTCTCTCTCTCTCTCTCTCTCACACACACACACACACACACGAATAATCTAAAAAAACTTTTAAAAGTTTTTCAATTAAAATTTTTGAAAAGGAAATAAAAGTGTAAAGAAAATATGACATTCAAATTGCATAAAAATATTTCAGTTTGAGCAGCTTCATGCAAACACTGGAAACTGTTTCAAATTTCCTACATGGTACACCTTACTGGAGATAAAGTATGACTTACCGTGGTTACTATTAAGCTGAATAGAACTAGGGTAAAAATCAGATGGTAGTTTATTGAGTTCTTTGTCTTGAAACATTCAAACCTTTAAGATAAGAGAGAAAGAAATTCACTTTATAATGTATAACCAGGGACAAACTGAGTGCTGCTTACAGCTTGCCCACACACCTTTGTGATCCAGCAGTACTCACTATTTCTACCCTCCCGCTCTCCGTGTTACAAACACTGAGTTGTATACAGATTACAAGAGGCTAATAGGATCAGCGGTAGCCACAAACTTTAGCTGAGACAATGAAGTTCTCTCTTCAAGTATGATTGAAAGACAACTAATTAAGTAAGGAAACTCAAAACATGGTATCAGATAATTTAAGGCTGAAATTTGGAGGCAGCCACTGAATAAACAAGTGAATGAAAAGACTTGAAGCCATGTGGAGAGAAAGGAATGGAGAAAAGACAAAGGCACAAAGACATGACTTTCCAGTTCTAGTGAGGCAAAGTTAGATTCCCTTCTATTTGGTTTCAGTTTCCTCATGTACTTACAAAAAGGAAGTTTCTTTAACTCTAGTAGCTTTGTGTATTTGTGTATCTTACAACTGATGATCTCTCTCTGAATGAAACTACTGAGATCACTGTATTGTTAGGCATGGTAGCTCATGCTTTTTATCCAGCATTCAGGAGGCTGGGACTGGAGAACAGCCCTGCGGGGGGTAAGAGTGAGATTTTGTTGAAGAAGAGAAAGAGGAAAAAGGCTTCTATCATAATTATTTTTCCTTATGTGTCTCCCCAACTAGATTGTGAATTTTTTTGTGTACAATGATATAATCTTATGATTTTTTTAAACAGTTCCTAGGTTGGTGACAGATGAACAGGAGATAGAATAGGGATGGGGATGGCCATCAATAAGCACCCAATCTTTAAGGACTATGTATTAGAATAGACAGCAGTGCATTCTCAATTTACTAACTGCTTATAGAAACGGAACTACATGCTTATCTCCTCTGTAAATAAAGGAAACTGGAATAGAAGGTTTCTATGCTCTCTTTAACCTTTAAATTCTATGGATTTATGACTCTGAAGATGATACAAATATAAGGCAGGATCATACTTTTAAATTATATGACTTTATAATTGGATAGAAGAGTTAGGTAGTGTATTTATGAATTATACTTTCTTTTTTGCTTTGTCTACAGCTGAGAAACTTATTTCAAATCTTCTCAAAGAATATTGTTAAGCAACACATATGTTATTAATGAAGCTCTGCTCACACCCTTGATCAAGTTGCTAAATTTCTCTGTGCTTTATACCTTCTTGTGTATAAAACTAGTTCAGTACCTACTGTCCTCATTAGGTGAAATAAGGAGACAGTGCAGGGGTGGGCACAAAGCCCCATCCATAGCCGAGGAGCTACTGGCATTTGATAACTACTGGAAAAGAGACAGTCTGGTTCTTTAATGGTGTGACCACTAATATTTCAATTATAATCAAGAGAAAGCTCCACACCCAAGAGTAGCTGACCAACACAAACTGGACTTGATAGGATAACAACAACAATAACTAATAATAGAACATAACATTTGGTGGTTAGGGAGATAGGAATGGATCTGGGAAGAGTTCAGGGAGGGGGAAAAGATGATCAAAATACATTGTATGAAATTCTCAAACAATACTATGAGAGTACTTCACTTTTCAGATATGCTTTCTTTTAACTTTACATACCAATCCCAGATTCCCCTCCCTCTCCTTCTACTCCCTCCCCCACCCCATCTGCTCCTCAGAGAGGGTAAGGCATCCCATGGGGAGTCAACAAAGTCTGTCCCATCACCATGCTAAGGGAGGACCAAGCCCCCACCCCACCTCCATATCTAGACTGAGCAAGGTATCTCTCCATAGGAAATGGGCTCAAAAAAAAAAAAACCAGTTCATGCACTAGGGATAGATCCTGGTCCCACTGCCAGTGGCCCTACAAACTGCCCAAGCCATCCACTGTCCTGTCACCTGTATTCAGGATGGTCCTATGCAGGTTCCCTAGCTGTCAGACTGGAGTCAATGAGTTCCTACAAGTTCATGGCAGATATTTCTGTGGGTTTCCCAATCATGGTCTTGATTTCTTTGCTCATTTTATCGCTCCTCCCTCTCTTTGGCTGGACTCCAGGAGTTCAGCCTAGTAGTTAGTTGTAGATCTCTGCATCTGCTTCCATCAGTTACTGGATGAAGGTTCTATGCTGACAATTATCGTAGTCCTCAATCTGATTACAGGGGAGGTCAGTTCAGGCACCCTCTCTACTATTGCTGGGGAGGTTATTCTTGTGTATTCCTGGGAATTTCCCTAGTGCCAGGTTTCTCAATCCCATAATGCCTCCTTCTACCAAGATATTTCTTTCCTTTCTCTCTCTCTGACCTTCCCTCAACTCGACTATCCCATTCCCTCGTTCTCTTCACACCCCATCTCTCCTCCTCTCTTCCCTTCCACCTTCCCACATTGCCAATTTACTCATAAGTACTTGTCTATTTCCCCTTCCTAGACCAATCAATGTATGTGTCTCTTAGTGTTAGTTTTTCTGGGGTCATGCACTATAGACTGGTTATCCTTTGCTGTATGTCTAATATCCACTTACAAGTGAGTACATACCATATTTGTCTTTCTGGGTCTGGGTTACCTCTCTCAGTATGTATTTTTCTATTTCTGTCTATTTGCTTGTGAATTTCAAGATCTTATTGTTTTGTCGTAGTCCCCCCACATAGTATTCCATTGTGTAAATGTACCACATTTTCTTTATCCATTCTTCACTTGAAGGGCATCTAGGTTGTTTCCAAGTTTTGGCTATTATGAATAATGCTGCTGTGAGCATAGATGAGCAAAAGTCCTTGTATGAGTACACATCCTTTGAGCATATGCCCAAAAATGGTATTGCAGGGTCCTAAAGTAGATTGATTCCCAATTTTCTGAGAAACCACTATACTGATTTCCAAAATGGCTGTACAAGTTTGCACTCCCACCAGCAATGGAGGAATGTTCCCCTTACTCCACATCCTCTGCAGCATAAGCTGTCATTGGTGTTTTTGATCTTAGTCATTCTGATTGGTATAAGAAGATATCTCAGAGTTGTTTTGATTTGCATTTCTCTGATAGTTAAGGATGCTGAGCAATTCCTTAAATGTCTTTCAACCATTTGAGTTTCTTATGTTGAGAATTCCTTTTAGATCTATACCCCATTTTTTAATTAGATTATCTGGTACTTTGGTGTCTAGTTTCTTGAGTTCTTTGTATATTATGGAGATCAGTCCTCTTCCAGATGTGGTGTTGGTGAAGATTTTTTCCCATTCTTTAGGTTGCTGTTTTGTGTTGTTGACTGTGTCCTTTGCCTTACAGAAACTTCTCAGTTTCAACAGGTCCCCTTTATTAATTGCTCTCAGTGTCTGCACTACTGGTGTTTTATTTAGGAAATGGCCTCCTGTGCCAATGCATCCAAGGCTACTTCCCACTTTAACTTCTATGAGATTCAAAGTGGTTGGATTTATGTTGAGGTCTTTGTTCAATTTGACTTGAGTTTTATGCATGGTGATAGATATGGATCTATTTGCATTCTTCTACATATCGACCTCCAGTTATACCAGCACCATTTGTAGAAGATGCTTTCTTTTTTTCCATTGCATAATTTTAGTGTCTTTGTCAAAAATCAGGTGTTCATAATGTGTGGATTAATATCACTGTCTTCAAGTTGATTCCATTGGTCTACCTGTCTGTTTTATGCTAATGCCAAGCTGTTTTCATTACTGTAGCTCTATAATAGGACACAGTTCACGGGCTATTGAGATGGTTCAGCAAGTAAAAGTAATTACAGTTCAAGCCTGAAGACCTATGTTCAATCTCAGTATACCAGTATGGAAGGAGAGAATTCACTTATGAAAGTTGTCTTCTGTACATGTCTAACATGTACACTGTGGTAAATGCACACACAATAATAAACAACAACAACAAAAGAAACTGGTGCTGGCTCAGCAGTTATGAGTACTTGCTACTCTTGCAGAGAACTTGCTCCTAGCATGTATATGATGGCTCACACCCTCTATAACTCTAGTTCCAGAGGATCCAATACACTCCTCTGGACTTTTCATACCAGGCATGCACATGGTGCACAAACATATATGCAGGCAAAATGCTCACACACATAAAGTGAAAATAAATACATTTTTAAAAAAGCAGTAACTAAAAAAGAAACCATTCATACTGCAGTATAGACAAACTACCCCCAAAACTTTTGTGGCACAATTTGGATACACTCTTCACTTAAGAAAAGGAAAAATGTGTACTTAAGGCAATTAAGATACTATCTAAACTGACATTAGGGTTTTGAGATTCCTGTAGCTTCCCCAAAACTAAACTCTTCACTAATGTCACAATATTTTTATCTTTTACACTACATATCCTAGTAATGTAATTGAACCAAAAATCACATTGAATTGAATTTAAAATGTAGGTACTTACATGCAGTACACAAATATGCAACAGCTGTAAATCATGGGGAGCTCATCCAATAGCTACATGAAGCAGAGAGACAAAGATGTGAATACAGTACAGTTATAACTATGGAAGTCAAATCCAAACTTCAGAATGATTATGATTATCATCTTAAGCCAGGGATGTACCTCAGTGGTAGAATGCATTGCTTAGCATGCACAGGCCCTGGGTTCAATTCCTAGTTGCTTTCCCCAAAATCATTAATTCTTATTTAATTTCTTTTAATTATTTAATGTATTCATCATCATCTAACTTATTTGTATAGTCTGTTGTTTTTGAACTATCAAAGTTATCTATCTGTCCCTTCTAAGACAGACATTTAGGTAGTACATTCCAGAGAGCAGCCTTGTAATCAGAGTCAAGGCCAAGGAAATCGGAATGATTGTAAATGTGAAGATTTGAGAAATATTTGGGAAGTAAAATAGAGATTTGTCATTAATTTTATAGAAAAGAGAGGAGAAAGAAACTATAAAGGATATATCAACTTTCCCATTCAAATAGATACCACTGACACAGGAAAGACTGCAGGCACCTAAGAATATAATGATTTTGTGAACTGCTTACAACTTTTTAAGACACCTCCATGTAACAGTCTTTTTTAATGCTGTTCTAAAATTATTTATGTCTGCACAGAGTTGGCACACATACCTAGATAGCCATACTACTTCTTTATATGGTCAGTCTGAGTTCTTTGACCTGAAGTGATGACAAGTACCTCTTTTATTATCCTTTAGCTATATGTTCTTTTCTCAAATTGGAAATGTTTCTAAATTGAGAGAAATAATCACTTACTTTTGCCAATACTCACCTGCATTTCATATTTCAGAGTCATGTGGAAACACCAAGATCCCATTCCTACCACTGAAATTAAGACAGACAAACAAAAGGATTAGCAAAAAAATTCTTTGGGGGCCAGAGAAACTTCAGAAGACAATAAGACATTTCAAAGTATTAAGTTTTGAGAAAAACAAAGTTTATAAGGTCTTGTGACAAGATACAGATGATGCTGAGTTAGTGCTATGACTTAGGATTTTGGCGTAGAAGAAAACAAGAACAGTATAATTTTTCTAAAATTCTCCCTACTGAGTAGATTACTAGGTATTATTTCTATAAAGTACTGGATGTTCAGGATAAGCTTTAATGTGCATGGTTGGTCAGCTTCCTTTCACACTGTCTTGTACTCCTCTGATTAATAAAACGTAGTAATACAATTTAGAGAGTCACAATATGCAAAACTACTGTACAGACACCTAGATGTAGTTCTTTTGATAACTTTCTTGTGAAAGTATGCTGTTGTCTCTGTGTGTGACTACTTAATAAACTAACTTTGCTTCTTTCTGACTCATTCTGTAATTGTTTCTGTGGTATATAATCAAGGATACAAGAGAACATATCAGACTCTGGTGGCAGTTTGGGGCTGTCTCTACTACAGTAAATAGTTCTATGTATTGAGGTTTTATGCTATGCCAAGTGTGCTGATCGCTATATATGCTCTAGGTCCTTTCATCTCTACAGAACCATTATCAGTTACCATCTGGCCTTTGTGTAATTCACCCTCAACAAAGGCATGGTATACAGCTATTAAGTAATAAGGAAGAGATTCTAACTCAGCTTCCTTTGTAAAATATCATACATACAACTTATATATCTAGGAAACAATTACAGAGATATGTACAGAAAAGACACAGAAGACATTTTCAATTTTCTGGCCCCAAGGTGAGCTTTGTAAGCATGGCTAATAAAATTTTGTAGCTAGGTAGGACTTTTGGGTTTTTTTTGTTGTTGTTTTTGTTTTTGTTTTTTCGAGACAGGGTTTCTCTGTGGCTTTGGAGGCTGTCCTGGAACTCGATTAGTAATCCAGGCTGGTCTCAAACTCACAGAGATCCGCCTGCCTCTCCCTCCCGAGTGCTGGAATTAAAGGCGTGCGCCACCAACGCCTGGCTTAGGTAGGACTTTTATAATAAATAATTATATCAACAGTCCGTATATTCCATTTCATGCTAATTGAAAGGAGAAAAAAGAAAAAGTACCTACCCCCTTTTGGTAGTACTGGGGATTAATGCTAGGGCTATGATCGTGCTAGGCATAGCTCTACCAATGAGCATCCCAAGTCAAAAAAAAAATTGTAGATTGAAACAGAGTCTTAAGTTGTACAAATTGATCTCACACTCACTATATATGCAAGCCTCCCAAGTGTCTGGGATTACATGTGTCCCATTACACCTGCTCAGGTGTGTGGTTCAATTTGCCCATCTCTCCTTACATCTGAATTTAAATCACAGAAAGTCTCTCAAAAATGCTGGGCATAAATTCACACTTTTTCTTTCAGCATTTGTAATATTTTGGTTTTTATATGTATTCTTCTGATCAATTTATAATTTATTTTATTTTATTTTTGGTTTTTAGAGACAGGGTTTCTCTGTATTGCTTTGGAGCCTGTCCTGGAACTCATTCTGCAGATCAGGCTGGCTTGGAGCTAACAGAGATCTGCCTGCCTCTTTCTCCTGAGTGCTGAGATTAAAGGTGTGCACCACCAGTGCCAGCTAGAATTTATTTTTGTGTGTAAGTTATATAGTCAATTATTTTCTCTAGCATCAATTATGAAAATATTTTATCTTTGCCCCAATGACTGGAGACACCATTTTATCAATATTTGGTAAGCTATATATGTTCAGGAATTTGTGTATTTCTATTTTATCTCATTTGTTGGCATATCACTATTCATAATAGTTCCTTATGGCTGGGAGATAGTGGCACATGCCCCAGCACTTGGGAGTCAGAGGCAGGTGGATCTCTGAGACTGAGGCAAACTGGTCTATGGATGAAGTTCCAGGACAGCCAGTTACACAGTGAAACCCTGTCTTGAAAAACAACAAACAAACAAAAAGTTCCTTATGATTCTTTGCATCACTACATCAGTTGTAATTTATCATCTTCATTTCACTGATCATATATATTTGCCTTTATTTCATTTATTTCTGCTCTGGTCTTTATTATTTCTTTCCTTCTATTACTTTTAAGGTCTACTGTTTTTTATTTCTTGAGATGCAATGTTAGGGTCACTTGTACTCTTCTTGATATAAACATCCTTTTTTAATTGCTTTTGCTATCACCCACAGGTTTTCATATGTTGTAGTTCCATTTTTTCATTAATTCACTATTTATTCAGGAGCATATATCTTAGTTTCTCCATATCTGTAGAGTTCCTAACATGTTTCCTGTTATTTATTTGTAGTTTTATATCATTCTGATCAGAAAGATACTTAAAATCATTTCAATCTTAAATTTTTAAGACTTATTTTTGTGAGTCAAAATGTAATGTCCTGGAGAAAGTTCCATGTAATGCTGAGGTATGTATGTATTCTGTAGCTGCTGGATGTAATGTTCTGTAAATATATTTCAGGTTTATTTGGTCTATAGTACAATTTAGATCTGCTGGGTTTTTTTTTTTTTTTGAGTTTTGCCTGGATAATCTGACCATTGTTAAAAGCAGGGTGTTGAAGCCTCCTTCTATTATTGCATTATAGTCTGTTTGATTGTGTATGTGTGTGTATTTATTTATGATTGTTGAATTGATCTGCTTATTATGTAATGACCATCCTTGTCTTTTTCTTTAACTCAGTATTTTAGTTGACATCAGTATAGCTAATCCTTTCAGTATACATTTCCAAAGAATATCTCAGTTAGAGGCAATACATAATTTTCAGTTTTGTTTTTTAATCATCAAGTATTCTGTGCTTTTAATTGGAGAGGTTAATCTATTTACATCCATGGTAATTATAGATAAGTAAGGACTTGTTACTATATTATATTTTAGTTGTTTTGTATATACTTTTTTTCTTCTAGAACTCTTTCTTTGAGGCAGTGACTTTTCTCTAGTATTGTCTAACTCCATGTATTTTATTTTTAGTGTATTTATTAAGGTTTTTGCTTTACGGCTACTATGAAACTACCAAGAATGTCTTATAACATAATAGGTTATGCTAAGTAGATTAAAAACTCAAGTTTGATCACATAGAAGGAAGGAAAAAAACCTTCATTTTTTGTTTGTTTGTTTGTTTGTTTTTGGAGACAAGGTTTCTGTGTAGTCCTCTCTGTCCTGGAACTCACTCTACAGATTAGGCTGGCCTAGGACTTGGAGATCCTCCTGCCTCTGCCTTCCAAGTGCTAGGATTAAAGGCGATCACCACAACTGCCTAGCGAAAAATCTTAATATTTTAACTTTTCCCCTTCTTAACATTTTAAATGTCTGATGTCACAATTTATATTTTATTATTCACATAATTATTACAGTTACCTAAGCTGGCCTCAAATTGCTATGTAGCAAAAGTGATCTTGAAATTTTGATCCATCTACCTGCTGAGATTACAGGCATGAGCCATTACATCTGCTTTATGCAGTGCTTGGGATTAAAGCTTGGAGCATGCTAGGCAAGCATTCTACCAACTGAGCTATATCTCCATCCCTATAATGTCTTACCTTTTACTCCCTGTCTTCTTCTATTCTTTCATAAATTCAAATAACTCACATAAATACTGTTTTGATTTAGTTTTACAAATCCCTTAAAACCTCTTCATTTATTTTTTTCTCTCCTGACTATATATATTTAAATAACTTTTCTGATTCACATTCTTCCTCTTGCTTGATTTACTGTTGGTGCTCTCTACTGTAGTTTTTCATTATATTCACTATATTTTTCAGTTCCATAATTTGATTTTTAAAATAGTATTTCCATATTTCTTTTAAACTTCTCCAATAGATTTCTGAATTGTTTTTACTAAGGTTAAAGCTTCCTTTAAAAAACTGTTTAAGATATATTTATGTGTATAAGTGTTCTGCTTGCATGTATGTCTGTGCACCACATACATGTCTAGTATCTTCAAAGGTCAGAAGAGGGTGTCAGACCCCCTGAAACTGGGGCTATGGATAACTGTGGGCTACCATGTGGGTGCTGGGAACTGAAGTCAAGAGCTATGCAAGAGCAACCAGTGTTCTATACCACTGAACCCTTCTCTAGCCCCTGAGTTAAACTTCCTTAAACAGTTTTGAAATTTTTTGATAGATTCCATTTTTCTGGGGTCAATCACTGACAACTTATTTTCCTTGTTTGATGAGGTCATATTTCACTGCTCGTGTTTGATGCTTTTAGGCATGAAATGTTGTCTTCTCGTTGAAGAATTAGGTGTTATTTCAGTCTCTGCCAGTTTGGCTTTCTTTGTGCCATCTTTCTTCACTTGTTCAGAAATTCAAAGCAGGTAGATTTGCATTTCCTACACTGCAAACATTTCAACACTAAGGGGTGCTCTTAGACTGGGATGTTATGAGTTTTATAAGGGCTCCAAGGTTAATGGGGGAGCTAACTACATAGAGCTGCAGAAGATGCAGGGAGGTTACTCAGAATTTGTTGAGAAAGCTTCAGAGGGACTCAAGAAACTTGTTGCGGTAGACCAAATATGCATGACTCTGATGCCTCCCCATAGATGTGACCGTTCTCTGACAGCAGCAACAGGACCTGGAGCTGACACTGGATCTCCTTAAGCTCTGTTGTGATACAGTAATGGGTGAACCTATGCTGGTGGCCCAGACATGCATACATCTCCCAGCAGTTTCTCAGAGTTTGGACGGTTTCCCAATTACAATGAGATAGAGATCAGAGTTTGAGCCAAGCAAAGGGTAAATTTCAGGTCTGCTGTCAAGACCAATGTCAGAAGGCAGATAAACCTTTCTGCCACTGCTCCAATATATATGATTCCTTCTGAACACTTTGGCACATGAAACGGAGCTATATTCAAGCCCTTAGAGTAAAGATTGAACTCAGGAACACAACTGGGTGTGGGTGTGTACTCTCAAAACAATTCTTTTAGGTTTCAGGCTCTACCATAGTTGTTCAACTTCTTATTGAATTCTGGGGCTTTCATAGAGACTCCTCTGTGGACAGATATTATGTGAGACCTCTTGTTATACTTATGGACATTATGGACATTATCTTTCATATGCTATAGCTTTTGGTGTTTACTTATTGATTTGAGACTGTTTATTTAAGTAAGGAAGATTATATTATAGCACACCATTGTTTTCAAATGAAGTATTCTACATACCTGTGAGTGCTAAATAAGCAGCAATGTACCGTTTTTCCAGTCTATCTCTAATGCTCTGAATTGCACCAAAAATTGGAGGTATGATCATAATCAGGTTACTCACTGTATTCCCTACAGGAGAAAAACAAAAGAAGATATTTAGATTAACCAGTAACACTTAAGAACACATTGATTTCCTCTTTAGCAACAGTTAAACAAGGAACTCCTTGGAAAGACTGTGATAAGATATTGTCATGGTACTACAAAAAGTCTTTATTCAATAAAATTTTTTCAAAATAACCAAATAAAAACAGAGACACTTCCTGAAAAATGAAACTAAGAATGTTTTAGAGTATACCCACTTAAGACAAATTCTAAATTCTAAAAGGAAGCAAGGAAAGGATCCCAGAAAAACCTCAGAGATACAACAGTAAGTTAGCTGAAGATGGAGTCCATACTTCAAAGTGTGGTTCTCTATAAGTAAATGATAATATAAACACTGATATTATAACATAAAATAATATAAATAATAATATAAATAACTGGATTACTCTTTTGGCTGTGGAATTGAAAAGTAATGAACTGAAAGTCTACACTTCATGTGTTTTGTAATATTTCATTTTTCTCGTAGTGTTCTTAGTTTCCTAGACATGAGACAAGAGATTTTTAAAATCCAATTTTTCTGTAATACAGTGGATTTTTGTTTGTTTGTTTGTTTTTTGAGACAGGATTTCTCTGTGTAACAGTCCTGGATGTCCTGGAACTCACTTTTGTAGACCAGGCTAGGCTGGCCTAGAGCTCACTGGGATCCACTTGTCTCCACCTCTTAAGTGCTGAGATTAAAGGTGTGTGCCATGTGCCACCACTGCCTGGCTTGCAGTGGATCTTACATGACTTTTGTTCTCATGTTTACAAAAACAAAGTTCTAAAGAACAGCAAAAAAGCAGAGTGGGCAAAGGTGTATCACTAAGTCTGATGACCTGATTTTAATTCTGGGGTTCATATATATGGTGGAAGAATCAATTCCTTCATATTGTTTTCTGAATTTCACATGTGTTCTGGGATGCATATGCATATGTACACATGTAAATAAATAAAACATGATAAAAATAAAACAAAATTCAAACACAAATAGCAAAAGAATAAAACCATGTTGCAACCATGTTAGTAAAACAAGGAAAGAAATGATTAAACAATGCAAATTTTATTATAGGCAGAGATGAGTAATATATTTTAAATGTTTCAAGTGAATGACTTTCAATATAGTTACTAATCAAGATAAATTACCAATTAATTGAAAAAGTACAATGGAGATATTTTCTCAAACAACCAAAGATTGAAAAAGTATATTTGCAACACATCTTTTCTCTGGAACCAACTAGATAATATAATGAGCCAAAATAAGGACATTACTTATGAGAAAAGATGAGGTAAAAAAAATCTAAGAAACGGGAGCTACAACATAGGAAAGTAAAGGATCAAGAGGACTGCTGTCCAACATATCAGTGATGACATGGTTGAAAATAAAGCAGGAAAGTAAAAAACTGCAGGAAATTTCCAAGGAAAAATAGGTAATCTAATGAGTCAAAATGTTGGTAGGAAATTTGACAGAAGTATTAGAAAATGTATACTGTTTAGTCAACCTGGTTTCAACTGACCCAGGCATCTGTTGCTGAATATTAGACTAATTCAATTACATGTAATACTGTAAAGTATAACCATATACAGTTGGTCCTCCATATCTGTGAGTTCTGTATCAGCAGATTCAACCCACCACATACTGGAAATATTTTTTAAATGTGTGTACTAAACACAGACTTTTTTTTGTCATTTTTCCCTCAACAATATAGCAACTGCTTACACAATATTTACATTGTGTTCAGTTATTATAAATAATCAAGGGATAATGATGCATATTGAAGGATGTGTGCAGACTGTATGAGAATATTAGGCCATTTTATATAAGAGATGAGCATCTGACGATGTTGATATTCACTGGTGTTCAGAAAAAGGCATAAGATCCCCTGGGATTAGAGGTACAAGGTGGTTGTGAGACGCCATGTAGGTGCTGGGTCTTGTGCAAGAGCAACACGTGCTCTTAACCTCTGAGACGACTCTCCAGACACATGGTTTTAAAAAGCTGATGTAGGAGCTGAGGCTTTAGCTCTGTGGTAGAGGGCTTGCCTATGAAGCACTACGCCATGGTTCAGTCCTCAGCTCCAAGGATGGGGTGGGAGCAAGGTGGGAGCAATGGAACAAAAGAAAATAAAAAAGTTGATTTTAGAAATAGACATAAAATTGTTCTTTTAAAAAGAAATTATATAAATGATAGCCAATTTAAGTTTACTAAACAAAATAATATACACGATTGCAAACTTAATTTTTTAATTAAAAACTGCTATTAATTAGATTCTAACCAGAATTGGTAAACCATGGGGCAATATGAGCGGGCAAAGTTTACAATAAAGAATTGCTGAAGCGGGTTATATGTACCTCAGCTGGCAGAGTTCTTGCCTATCATTCATGAGACACTAGATGCTAGGAACTGATTTCCAATATCACACTAACCGGGTGGTGTATGTGTAGGAGTGAGCCTTTTGGGACGTGGACAGTATTGGGAGCTCACCCCTTCGGTGTATGTCTATAATTCCAGCACTCAAGAGCACAAAGATCAGAGGTTTAAGGTTATACTCAGCTATACTGTGAACTGAAGGGCAGCTTGGGCTGTATGAGACTCAGTTTCAAAAATAAAAAAATATTGGAGCCAGGTCACCTGGTAAAATATACCTGTAATCCCAATACTTGGGAGACAGAGGTAGAAGGATCTCAAGCTCAAGATTAGATTATTAATTAAAGAAGGAAATAGAGTGGGTTAGTTGGTAAGAAGTAAAGAGAATTCTGCAGAATTAAAAAAAAATAGGTGCAAGGAGAGTAGACCTACTATACCTACTCACTGTGGTAGAGCAGTAAAGAGGATCCCTTGGGGCTGAAATGCTGACCAACAGCCCTGGTTCACTGACCAGTAGAGAAGCTGTTGTGTGACATGCTACTAAGCTATGCTACCCATTAAAACCTGCCAGAAGGTTGGGTGATACAGCTCCATTGGTAAGAGTGTTTGTCTAGCATGCACAAAGCCCTGAGCACAGCACTGCATAAACTCAATGTGGTAGTATATGTCTATAATCCTAGCACTCAGGAGGAAGGAGAAACATCAGAAACTGAAGGTAATCTTCCACTGCATAGAGAATTTGAGACCAGCCTAGGACACATGAGCCCATCACACACACACACACACACACACACACACACACACACACACACACACACACACACACACACACCCTCACCCATCAGAAAGCTATCTTCTAAGATGCCAGTAAAAGCTGACCATCCTGAGGGTGTAGGGAGAAGTTATTGGCTACTATGTGTTCTGTACTAATTTCAGGACCTAGGTACTAGAGAAGCTTCCTGAACTTGTAGGAGTTATATGGAACTAATTTCACTTGGACTTCAAGAATGGGCACCCAAGAAATTGCCTGGCCAATACACCAACATCAAGAAGGAAAAGTCCTTCTTCCTGGGATGTATCTCTAGTGCCCTCCACTGACAAAGTTTAACCCCTGCTAGTTGTCAAAAGAACAGTTAAAGATAGTATAGAATAAACATTGAATTTGGAGCAAAGAACAGGCAATAAATTGATTCTAGAAGTTAAACTTCTATAAATTGTGTCTGAACCAAACTATGCCTGGTGAGGGTGCCCTAATAACCACATAAAAATGGGAGTTTGAGGTGAAATAGTTTTCTTCTCCATATATTTTAATGTGTCTGTAGTGTTTTGTAATTTGAAGTATTTTAAAAAGCTGAATGATAGAAAAATAAAGGCTAAATTACTTCCGCTAAGAATTTAACTGGGTTTGGAATTAACTTCTAGAAAATTATATTAAAAACAGCTTATTTTCTGGAAACAATAACATTCATCCATACACCACACAGTAGTTGTTAAATAAAAATTCTTCTTGAATGTTTTTAAATGAATTAAACATTATTTTCTAAAAGGGATAAAGAGATGGCTCGGTAAGTAAAGTGTTTTCTGTGTAAGCATGGGACCTGAGTTTGGATCCCCATAAATCATGCAAAACCTGAGTGTGGTAGCATATATCTGTAGCTTTTGCTGTTAGGGGTTGGAGTTGAGGCTGACAGATTCCAGGGCTCACTAGTTAGCCAATCTATCAGAAATGATGAGCTCCAGTTTCAGTGAGAGATAGTGTTTCAAAACAGTAAGGTAGAAAGTGAATGAGGATACCTAATATTAATCTCTGGCCTCTACACCCACATGCATGAGTGACGAACCATCTCTACACACATGCATACACACAGAAGTAAAAATAAAATTTAAAAATCTGAAAAGTTAAGCAGTTTCTTTATATAATTTATAGGCCAGGTTGGTAATATTCTAGTAATTTCAGAGTTGCTTAGCAGTCATTTTTTCAAGAAAGACTCACATATTAAAATATGGTTTTATGATTTGAAGCTGAAATGGCTCCCCCACAAAATCATGATTTGACCACTTGTTCTCCTGATGATGATGCTACTTTGGAAGGTTCTGGAATATGCAGGAGATGGGGCCAAGATGGTAGAAACAAGTCATTAAGGGCAAGTTCTTGAAGGTTGTGCATAACCTCTCATGTCTGTCATGAACTCTGTTTCTTGGTCCAAAATGTGAACAACCTCCACCACACTCTGGCTTTCATGCCTACCCCACAAGGACAAGCTGAAACTAAGATAAATCCTCAGATTATTTCTGTCATGTGTTGTAGTCACAATGACCACAAAGCAACACACACACACACACACACACACACACACACACACACGAGAAAAGGAAAGGAGGAAAGGGCAATAAGCAAAGGATAAGTTTAGAAGAGAACGCTGAATGATGATACACAAGCAAGATGTTTTGTTTCAGCATGGCAGTAGGTGGAGCCAGTGTGTTCAGCAAGCTAACTGCCCAGTATTTGGCAAAATACATAGGGCCCTGAGGTGACTAGATGCTGCAATTTGAAGTTTAGATGAATTTACAATTATATAACCATCTCCCAGAGCTAAGAATCAAAACACAGAAGCATCAAAAT